GAGCATAGACAGCAAACTCAACATAGTCCCAACATTTGGCCTTGGGGTCAGGTATATCTAAAGTATACCATCCATGGTTATCGGATGAAGAGCCTTTATGCCATTTTAGGTAACTAGAAGTCCACCCTTCAGGGTAACCAAGTGAGTGGTAAGAATAGCTACCACGTTCATCATGGAACCTGCATGACCAATAGGGGCACCCATTATATATCTCAGGCCACCAATGGCAATAGCCTTTGGTTTGATCAAAAAGGAAGCAAATTAAAGGCCAGTTCCAGCTACCAGGGACGAAGATCCTGGAAGGTGACAATTTTAGGGAAATAGAGGTACAGTTGTCAACGAAGCAAGTAGTTGCATCCACTTCGCGGACCTTCTGCATGCCATGTTCTGAGTATCGTTCCCCGAAGAGTGAATAGATACATGGTAGGAGAGAAGGGTAAAGACCGGTCCCGACAGAGCACAGAAAATAAGCAGAACACAAAAAACAAGTAGAGAGAGAAGACTGGGGTGATGGGAAAGCTCATTGTGCCTTCTTTAAGAGGAATTGGGCTGCGGGGAACACCGTGTGAGCTGCAACTTAAAGGGGTGAGATGGGTGTGGAGAGCAGGAATAAAGGGGAGTTTCAGGAGGTGATTCTTGGAGTTCCTCTGGGGTGGTCCTGTCGTCAGCAGGTGGGGCCTCTTGGTGATATGGCTTCAACCTAGAAATGTGAATCCAGGGAGTGAGATGGTTGTCTGGTAAGGAGTTTGGCGGCGGTGGGGGTACAGAGAATGACAGGATAGGGGCCTTCCCATTTTGGGGTAAGAAGCCCTTTCTCCTCTGGGGTATTATAATAGACTAGACTTCCAGGTGTTAAGGGAGGAGTGTTTGGAGAGGAGACTGGGTCCAGAAGAAGCCAGTCCTGATATTTCCAGAGTTCCGAGCGGAGATGAAACAAGAGAGGCAAAGACAAATCTCGGGTGAGGGGTCCTTGTGAAACGACCAACCCAGTGGGTATAAGAGGTCTTCCATACATTATCTCAAAGGGAGACAGTAAAGATGGTTTCTTAGGGAGAGCTCTGATTCGAAGCAAAGCCAAGGGAAGGAGTTTGACCCAGTCTAAGTTTAATTCCATTGTCAATTTGGTAAGGACTTCCTTTAGAGTACGATTTACCCTTTCCACTTTCCCTGAAGCCTGGGGGCGATATGGACAGTGGAAATGCCACTTGAAGGAGAGGGCTTGAGAGACCTTTTGTGTAATCTTAGAAATAAACTCAGGGCCATTGTCGAATTGTAGGGAAGTGGGCATACCAAACCTGGGGATGATGTCTGTCAGTACTACTTGTCTCTTGAAGCTAAAATATGAATGCTTTCATGATATTGTCTATACCCTTGCCCTTGATTACCTTTATTCTTTCTTTTCTTTTCTTTTTTTGTACTGGAAATTGAACACAGGGTACTTTACCAATGAGCTACATCATCCCCACCCTTTCTACTTTTTATTTTAAAACAGGGTCTTATTAAGTTGCCCAGGCTGGCCTGAAACTTACAATCCTTCTGTCTCAGCCTCCCGAGTTGCTGGCATTACCTCATATGCCACTGTGCCTGACTTGATTAGTTTTCAAATAAGCACATGAGTGACCCAAGCATTTTGCCAGACTTCCTAAATGACCCAAAGCAGCTTAGTCAGGTGGAAATCTGGTCCATGCATGGTCTGCTGCAGTTGATGAGGTTTTAGAAGTATATATCAAAGGCTCTATCTTGTAATGCTTCTTTAGATCTTGGGAAAAAAGATCATTGACGGGAGATCTAGAGTCCTTAGGATCTGAGCTATGAGGTTTTAGGCTTTTTTGCTTTTTGTTCTTGTTGTTGTTTTTGAGTACTGAGTGAACTCAGGAGTGGTTGACCACTGTTAGGGTCTGTAAACAAGTCAAGATGGCACCTGGCATTTTGCCAGAGGGAGTGGTTTGTGAAGTAATGCCAGTGAGTCATTAAGTGTGGAGATTCCTTATTGGTTGACTGCTGTATCTAGTTTATGTTAATTAAGATAAGTTGTGTGGAATGTATATATACCCTTCCTGACCTACAATAAATGGCTCCCACTCCTGCTGTATCAATCTACACAAGTTGCTCGTCACCCCCTGGCTATTTTGCCTAGCCAGTCAGGCTGTGGCAGATGGTGGCCCATCCAGGGAGCCCCAGGACACTCGGGGGTAAATGATGAAAAAAAAAAAGCTGCCCATCCCTAGATAGGACAGGAGCAAATCTGCTCATCCCTAGGCAGATAGGGTGAGAGGAAAAACGGCCATTTTGAGAAAATGGAGAAGATTGATACAGTATGTTTGTGTCTTGTTTTGTCTCAGTGTATTGTATTGTCTTTGTGATGAAAATATGGAAGGGGTGTTAGGTAAATTGATAAGGGAAGGAGGCACCCCAAGAATAGTTAGGGCATGTGTTGATGGAAGCCCAGGAACTCTAGTCAGAAAGAAAAAGAAAGTTCAAAAGAAGAAGGATTATGAGGAAAAAAGTTGCAGCAAAAGGCTATTACTGAATACTTTTCGTTACCGGAGGGTGCGTTAATTGGCGCGGCGGCTGCCATGTGTGCAAGCCAGTCATGGCGCAGCAAGGACTTTCCAAGTGGCGGCAGCTGGCTCTTCCCTGCCCCCCACCTGGGGAGCAGGACGCCACTTCGAGAGCCCAAATCCAAACCTGACCCAGAGGCACAGTCTCTCAGGCTCTTGCTCTCTGTGCATGGAAGCAGTTTGAGTCCGGGACACTCCCCAGGGCCATCTGGGGCTGACCGGGATGCTAAAGCCGGTAGAAGATGCTACCGGCGTCCCTGAAGTTTGATCATTTTCAAGGCCAGTAACTACAGTGGTTCTCCCACACCTGGAAACTACTTCAGCTGAGAAACGGATGAGACTTCGGATCAAGCTAGCTGCCTGCAGAATTTACCTGGACTGTGATTTACCTGGACTGTGAGTTAATCTATTGAGACACT